AAAAGTCGATATTGTTGATTTGATCCAATATACCCGATATAATCGTATTATTAATTGATTATCAAATAACAAAAATATAATTTTCAAAAAATCTCAAAATCAAATATTACATAACCACATTTTTATTCACCAATTGTTTGCAATATGTAAATAAACAAATACAGAAAAATTATAATATCATCAAATTAACCAAAAAAACGTGTACATTACATAGAGTAAATCTTTGTCATTATAAAATAGAATAAGTGTTATCTGCACATAATTTAATGACACAATGTATTACTCTAAGTAATTTTTAATGGGTGACTCTTTTTTGAGTGCTTCATTATTATTACGAGTTGTGACATAAAATTTTAGCGTCAGTAAATTCAATGCATGACGCTTTTTTTATAGCATCAATATGGATTATTATGACATAAATTGTATTGTTGGCAATTTTCAATACATTCCACTTTTTTAAGTGTATCATTATAATTTTTGGTGACACAAAATATAGGCGTTAAGAATTATCAATCTGAGACACATTTTTAACGCGTCGTTATTATAAAATTAGCAACAATATTGTGTCAAGATTTTAGTGAGACTTGCTAACATTAACTAATTAACTAATGTCACTAAGTTGGTGACAATTCTAGTGAAACAATGTCGTTGAGATAAGACTCTTATTTGAATAAAAAAAAATTAGCTTATCAAGTTCTATACATTATAAAAAAAAAATGTTATCAAGTTCTAGACGCTTTAGAGTCTTCAAAATCATGACGCCTATAAGAATAGTCGTCAAATTAGTTACACATATAATAATTTCCATCTATGTACTAGAGATTTTATAGTGAAACAAAAGTTATTGTTATACTTGAACTCGAATAATGATAATATCCGTAATAAATATAGAAAATAAATAACATGTTGAAATTCCCATAACATAATACAAAGAAACCACGTCATTGTCTAATAAAACAATTTTGAATAATTTAGAATAATGTAGAATAAACAAGGTAGGTGCCTATATTTGTGCTCGTCGTACGCTCCTTATATTAAGTTCAAACCCGTTTTAAAATAAAAGAACAAAAATTGATATCAATTTTTATTCATCAAAGTGACCCGACACAATTCACATGAAACATTTAAATGTAATTACTTACCAACATACGTTTCAAGAGGAATCATGTTTTTCTAATGAGAAGTCGAGTATATTCTACAGAAAAACAAGACACCAAATAATATGATTATATAATTTTACCATCATGAAAATAAAATATTGAGAATTTATATGGCATAATGAAATGATTATAAAAATATTTACTTGTGACATTATTTCTCTAAATTCCAAGAATTACCTTTGCATTCGATTCATGTCCTCTTTCAACTTTGCGATTGTATTTTCATAATCAACTGTCAAGTTTTCTATCTTTGTTTCACAAGTGAAAGGTTTGAGCAACACCAACTTGTGTCAGAGTCACCCCTAAACCACATCCTTTAACTCGTCCACACTGATTTGCTCTTAAGCGTTCACATATAAGACTTCATTTTGAAGTATATTTGCATCTCCATTTTGCAAGGTTGCACTACGTTCTGAAATCATGTTCGTAGGTGTGTCCCATTAAAAGAAAATTGACATAGATTTAGAGAAAGTAAAATTGCTCACCAAACCAATTTAGCTTTGTATCATTAAGAAGAGAAAAAGATCCTTTATACCGTTAAATGATATATTAAGTTTATAGCATTTCATAGTTGTTTTTGTTTTTACTGTGAATGAAATTAAGAATGGCAAAAGACATTACCTCTACTTTTTCAAATTTTGGGTTGAGAAAACTTCTGGGTTATTTTTTTTACGCGTTATTTCAAAAAAATCCATCCGCCCAAGTTGCTTTCCATTTTTCACTTCCTGTCAGTAAGATTTATTTAACTTAAACTCAGCAGCTAGAGAACAGTTAAATGAGACAATTAATGGCTGAAACAATAAATAAAAAATCTCACAAACTCTTCCTTGCAACGAGCAAAACTCTTTGAACCACATGTATGAGGTGTTATATGGTGTTTCCTCGCTTTTTTACACATTTCCAATACATTCTGCAAATATATTGTAAATTACAATAAAATTAGACTGTAAAACAATTAATGCAATACATAAGCATATTAGTTTATTTAATACTTTTGAATTAGCTGAGAACCACGAACAAATTTAGCTCATTGTAAAGGAAAAATTCCTTTTGGAACATCATTTAAAATTTGCTGCTCAAAATTGTAGAAGGACTAATACAATTGGGCTTTAGAATATTACCGACCCAAACCCACTACAGTAATAAATTTGAAACTGTCCAATACGAGTTAGTTTAACTTGTTCAGGCTTTTGATGCGTTACACGTTGTTACAATTACACTTACTAAATTGGGCAACAATATTGTAAGCCCAATAATTTAATTTCGCATTTTTACCTTCACCCATGATTTATATAACTTCAGATTTTTTATTTTTATTTTTAAATCTCATTTCTGAATTAACATGCTCACCAATTAATATAACATAAAATTAGTATACAATACAAGATGAGTATGTGATTGAACGAAATTTTTACATATAATTGATAAGTACATTTTAATTATCTTGAACACATAATTGTTGAGCACATTTTAATATGTCTACGAGTAGGTGATTATTTTTCAATCTTGTAAACCTTAAATTCGTGGTTTTTAAATTTAACGTTCTATTTCTTAAAAAGAAAAATCTAATTTATTGTTGGATTAATTCATACACGTGAGAAATAAGTAAATGTATATTTTTTGTAAAAAAATAATAAAATTTGCTTTCTCAAAGTCACGAAAAAATAGAACGGAAAGTATGAAATGGAACTTAAAATTCAATCTCGGATTCCTTTCCGTACGGTTTCAATTAAATTGAGTGTGATGGAAATGGAAATTTTGTTCTCATTGATGTATAATTTTTATTATGAAATCCATCTATCTTTCCACGTATTTTTCTTTGACATTTATACAAAACAAATAAACAATGCTATTATTATTTTTTATATATATAAACCAATCAATTGTCAAAGTGTTTTTTGTTTTTTTATAATTTTATTTATGTAGCTCGTGGATGGAAAGCATGTGTTTAAATTAATCAGTCACGTCATTATACTTTATATACTCTATATCTTAATTCACACTTTGTTGCTTGAAAAATTTTATATATGAACACTACTCTTTTAAGTTTTAACAATAGCCGCCGGTGCCGGTTCAAAAGAACCATTCTTTGGTTTCCTAAATTAATGTGAACTAGTTTTTGTCCCGTGCATTTGCACGGAAAACTATATAATACATGAAAAAATAATAAAAATTATAAACAATAGTAAAAAATCATAACAAAATCATTGAAAAAAATTAAGAAAAAAAATATAAATATTCTTAAACACTTCTTTATAAAACAACGTCGTGGTTTTTCTATCGTCAAAATCTCTCTCAGCTCAAATCAAAATCTTCAAACCCCATTGACTCGTAACTCTAAAAAGCGTCACGTATAATTGCTCATGACTAAATGTTGAGCTCTTCAGTAGTAAGCCGACGTGCAACAGAGACTATCTTTGACTCTTACTGATCATGTCATAGCATAGGAAACACTTTTTTATATTGTTTGTCCGTGACTCTTATTGATTGATAGAGATTGTCCTTGCTTCTTAATAAAAAAATACCATCTAAATATAAATGAGTA